GATAAGTCGGTTGACTAGTCTATGGGCTAGTTTATGGAATAATCTGTTGGCTAAACAATGGACTGGTCTGTTGAACAGCCTATGGACTAGTGTGTTGACTACTCAAGGGACTGTTAACTGGTCTATGGACTACTTTGTTGATTAGTCGATAGACTAATTTGTTGGCTGGTCTGTTGATCAATTTGTGGACCAGTCTTTTGACTAGAATATATATACTCTGTCTTGAGTAGTCTATGGACTATTGGAACTGGTGACTAGCCTATGGACTAGTCTGTTTAGTCGCCATTTTTAAGGCTATTTTAGATGAATTTCACACAAAACTCTTTATCTATCAACAATTAAACCCCATATATATGTAAATGTTTAATCAAAGAGCTTTTTATATACATACATAGACATTCTTTTTAACAATAATAAAAATAATAACAACTCTTTATAAAAAAAGAAAAAAACTAATTAAGAAATAAACATCCCAAGAGTAGCCACGTTAAACTTGGTCATTATATAATTAAGTGATTTTTGCTAACAAATTTGCTTAAGAAAACACACAACGTTCAATTATCCCCTTTTTTTGTGGTAAACTAAAATTAACTTTATTAGGGAAATAAATAAAATGGAAATAAATGTGAAATGTGTCTCAAATGTAATTAATTTCAGGAAATTTTCTTTTTAGATATTAGATTATAAAAACCACAAAAAAAGTTCTTATGTTCAAAGTTACACAACCAAAAACAAAAAAAGACCATCATCTTAATTAATAAAAATTCTTTTATTCAATTTTTCTCTTATAAGAATGAATTTAACCAGAATTTTTTATTTATCAAAATTAAAAAAAGTTGTAACCATAAAGTTAGCAAAATGAAAAAGGTTTGACAGTGAAATGTGTCATCGTTATGTCAACTTTGAAAAAGATAAAATTTACATAGTTACTCTATACATAGTTTTGGATATAAATGAAGAAAAATAATGTTTAACAACAAAGTATATTTGTAACTTTTTTTAAAAAAAAAAGGTTAAATATAAAATTACACTGTTATGTTTTTTGTAATTTTAATTGTCATATTGACTGTCATTTTATTGTTAAAATAATAATATTGACATTTTAAGTAGATGTTTTACTTAGTTTTTTTTTCTATAAAGCTTATTTTGTCATTTCGTAGAAACAAATGTAAATTTATAAATAATTAATTAAATTTTAGTTTCAAGGATTATTTGAGTGACAGATAATAATGTATGTTTGACACACACTTACATTCGTGTTTGTATTTGTATTGAATTATATATGAGCTCTTAATTTGTTAATTTATATGAATTAAAGTTGGAAAATAATATATATAAAGAAATTTTTATATTTATGACTTTCAAGTTCAGAACAATAATAAGTATTAATTGAATTGTATGCATTATTAAATATTTTTGTAATTACAGTGAAGTTCATGTTTTTGACATAGATTTTTAAATCGTAATGAAGTGTTAAAATTAATTTAAAAAGTGGTTATTACCAAGTTTTTGCTGGATAACTATATATGTATTTTTTATATATATAATTTTCTCCAAGGACATGTCAAACATATATTTTTTGTTAAATTCATACTATCATGGTTAAATTTTAAAATCTGAGCAAAATTTATTTATTTTTTTAATAAAATTTAACAGTTTTTAGCTATGTATACACGGTTGTTAGATCTTACAATGTTGTCAGTAAAATGTTCAGAAAATGTCTAACAACATTGTCAACTTATAAATTTTGTGTTGTAACATTGTCAGTAATGCTTTTTTCTGACATCGTGGTTGCATCGTTACAAAAGAAAAAATGTAAGTTCATATGATTTTTAGACATTTTACTGACAATGTTGTAAGATCTGAAAACCGTGTATCAAAGCTTTTTGTCTTTAAAAATTCTTTCCACATTTTTCCTTTGAAAATAATCATAAATTTCCAATTGTGAATCACTAATAAAATAATGCCCTATTTCATATCGCCCCATATATAACTAATGTAATGTGCAGTTTTTAGCTGTATTGGTTTTTATATCCCCTACTGACTTTTCCCAGCAGTTAGACAAAGAGTCAATGCATCCGAAAAATACGTCTAAAAACCTGATTGACTCTAATTCGTCTTTCGTCACAGATGTACTCTTTGTAAACGAAGGTGAAGATAATCGTCTTTGTAAGAGAGATATTTGTCTGTCTCTTCGTAATCTATAGGGTGATGATTAACTTTCTCATAGGAAAAGTTCATGTTAAAATAGCTAGTCACCTGGGCAGTCCTTAAGTATAGGGGTAGGTTAAATAGGTAGTACGGGACTGTCCCACCGAACTGCTGGGTTCCGTTTGAAACACATCGAAATGTTGATGGTAACTCCATGAAAGTATATAATATTGTCTGGGTCTATATTAGATTCTGAGACGATCTAGTCATGTCCATATTTTTGTTGATTATGTTTCTAATTAATGCTTATTATGTTTTATAGGTTCCATTATAGACAAGTGAAGGTACAAAATTCGAAATTCTATTACTGATTTGCCAAATCTTGTATGGATATCTTAATTTAGAAATAAGTTATGTGAGTTTAAGTGATTTTCGGGAGGTGACCTTGTATGGGAGCTATGACCAAATCTAAACCTATCGTGAATAGATTTTTAAATAACATTTCTGCGTACAAAAGTTATATTTGAGCTAAATTTTGTATGGATATCGTTATTTGGTAATGAGTTATGTGTGTTTAAGTGTTTTTCTGAAGGAGACCTTATATGGGATCTATGACCATTTGTGGACCGATACGAAAAAATTTACATTAACATTTCTGTATATAAAAGCAATATTTGCTCAAAATCTTATATGTATATTTTAATTTAGTAATGAGTTATGTGCGTTTTATTGATTTTCAGAAGGGAACCTTGTATGGAAGCTATGACCAACTATGGACCGATACAGAAATTTTTTTTTTTCATATAAATTCCATTTATATAAAACTTAAATTGTTCACATTTTATAAAGATATCTTCTTTCTAAAAGAAGTATTTAACAAAAAATTCATTATCGTGGAATATGTGCCTTAGTATGGGAGGTATAGGAATTTGTGGACCGATTTCGACACTTTTTAACAGAGAACAAAGTTATATACATCATCTATCACCATTAATGGTGGTGGATGGTAAAATTATATTCAATTATTATTTCAATATGAATCAAATTTTTAAAATTACATTCCATATCTATCAAAATTTCATTTGAAAATGAATGGAGATTTGGCAAATGCAGTAAATTGGAAATGATCATATAATTGGAATAAAATATTTATTTAATTTTCTACTTTCAAAAAATGTTTATAATCAATTCTAATACACTAGAAAAAAGGATATTTGAAAAAATTTCATAGCCAATAAAAATATTTATAATAAAACTTGGTTAAGAAAAAGAAAGCACTAAAATACGTCATGTCATATGAAAAATTTGGAAAATTCATAATTTTTGTATTTAAAAAATTAAGAAAATATTTGTTAAAAGAAATATTCTCTTTAAACCATGTTATTCATCTTATGTTAGCACAATTTCTTTATTAAAAACACAATATTTATGATAAGTTTATGACTTTCATAAAAAGGATATAGAGAAAACTTCTAAGATAATAAGGATTTTTAAACGAAATTTGCTGAGCTTATAAAGCATACTAAGGCACGACTTGTAATATAATAATTTTTAGAAATTTTTGAAATTTAAAAAAAATCTAATAAAACAAATTTCAAAATTCTTAAAGTTAATTCTACAAAACACCTATATTTTAAAAAATCTCATAATAAAGAATATATGACAAATTTCAAAACTAATATATATATTTGAGTAAAATTTAGTAGATTTTCTAATTTTGAAACAAAATAATCCTTAAATCCTACATTTTTAAAAATTTCATAATAAAGGATATATGAGAAATTTCAAAACTAATAAAGATATTACAACAAAATTTGGTGGGTATATAGAGTATACTAAAACATAAATTGTACTATAATTAGTTTTAAGTATTAGTTTAAAATATATTATTTTTTGATAAAACAAAAATTTCAAAATGCAAGCTTAAGTCGTGCTGGAGTATTCTTTATATATACCATAAATTTTGTTGTAATAGCTGCTTTGGTTTGATAGTTTGTCATATATCCTTTTTTTGGGAAGTTTTTAAAAGTTTTGTTAAAATGGAAATTTTTGTTAAAATATTTAAATTTTTCTGAATTTTTTAGCTAAACTAAGCTGTACTAAACAAGTGACTTTAACAATTAGTAAGGAAAGCTTTAAAAAAACTCATTATAAATTTCAAAATTTTTAAAAAAGTTAAGTCAATTAAAAAAAATTGGAAAAATCTTGTTAATGTTTTAAAAAATAATTGCTTTATATAAAAATTAAATCCAATGAAATAAAATGAAAAATTGGAAAATAAATATTACATAAGTATTTTGAGCACAAGTTTAACACACTCAAAGAGAAAGAGGTTTTAAAAAGGAACCTAAAAAAATAGACACAAATGTATACAAAATTGTCAGAGTAGAAATGGAGACTTAATGTTTCAATGCCAAAAAATTCCATAGGTACTCAGCTGATTACAGACTATATGTACAAGCAAAGGCATTTCAAATAGCTGAATAGCAATTTCAAATATGTAGCTGAATAGGTACTAAAAATGATAAAGTGAAAAATGGATTTTTTTTTATTTGTTATTCCGTTTTGCTGTTTGTTTCATTATATACAAGTCCTAAGTAAATCAAATGTATACATATATAAATGTATGCATTATATATTTGCTTATATACATATGTATTTGACTATATAGTTTTTAAGAAACTTTTTTTGTTATATAGAAGTATACACACATTTTTTTCTAGTTGGTATAAGAGGTCATTAAAAATTTAAATTCTATGGATTTTTCTTTGTTAACGATTTTTTTTTCTTAACGAAGAAATTTGAAGAAAATATTATATAATTCAGAGGTGTTTAGTTTCACTACATACCTGTATCGTTTGTGGATATATTACTTAGACGATTTGTTATAAAACCGCGTAGATTTGAGACAACTCGTTGTGGTGAATTGGGACCACTGCCGATAGAAAAACTTTTGAATTTCGAAAATAAAGCGGCCGTTTCACCCGTGCCACTGCCTGTGGCGGCGTTAGGATTAGACTCGTTGGACGCCACTGTCAAAACTTGCAAAAAATTAAAGTTGAAAAAAATTTAAAATTTCTTCTTTTTTTCTTGTTAAACTTTTTTTCTTATAAAATTAACACTTTAATTTAAATTTATTTTTCCGTAAGAAATTTTTTCTGTATTTTTACTGTTTCCACTGCAGTTTTTGGTAGATTTTTTTCTTATTTAGGTTTTCGTATGATTTTTTTTTTGTTGAAAATAAAAGATTTTCTTTTTATTTGACTTTTAAAATAAAATTTTTTAAAATTTCAGTTCACTGGGACACACTCTCTCTTCACACTATTTTTCTTTTTTTAAAAAAAAAAAGATATTTTTCTTTGAAAAAATATTTATAAAATTTTTTTCTTTAATTTTTAAGAAATTTTTATGTGAAGCTCTGAAATTCTTTTGTATCTTTCTTTAGTTTTTTTTTATATTTGAATTGTATTGAATTTTTTTACACTAGACGACGATCAACCGTTTGTATTGTTTGTCGTCCAGGCCAGAGCAAAGGTAACTTCTGTCTGGTGGCTTAAACACGTTGAAAATATCACATGCCTGTGTATACACGGTGTTTTTTTTGGCCTGGAATTTTAGTACCAGTCGGTAACAGTTGAACCACCCAAATTGCCACCCACCCACTCGTTATATACTTAATGGTTGTTGTGTTTTCCTTTGTAATATACACATACACACGAAAAGGCAGTGGGCTGTAGGGGTATGTGTGAGAGTTTGGTTTTATTGTTATTTAAGGGGGGTCTTGTTGTTGTTGTAGATAATTTTGATTATCCTCTCTCTCAGGATATAGTTTTTTTAATACGCCTGCGTTTGTTTTCATTTACTTAGACGTTCTCTCTTACAGGTATTTTTTTCTCTTGTGTTAATGTTGTATTAACTTGTTCTTATTACTACAAAACCAAACAATAACCAAACGAAAACTCGGCAACAATAATAGCAATTTTTTGTGTATTTGTTTTGTTGTTGTTTTTGTTAATTTTCGGTTTTACACAGTTAAAGAAATAAATTATCCTGTTTTGTCCTCACACATACACATATACACAATTGTATCTTTTGGGTATCTCATTGTTTATGTTGGTGTGTTTGTTTATATCCTTTACACCAATTGGCTTGAAAAATGTTTCCCATTTTTATTTTTTGCTTTGAACTACGCGTTTAGTCTGTATAAGGATTTTCTTGTTGTTTGTTGATTTTCTCATACTTTTTACAAATAGCTGTTTTTGTTTTTTTTTTCTTCTGTATCACAATTCTTATATAATTTGCTTACTACGTGTGTTTACCTTTTTCCACTTTGATCAGTCTGCTTAAAGAAATTTAATTACTATTTTAAATTGAGCATAATTGTAATTGACAAAAGCGTTTTGTTAATGACACAGACATTTTAAATAAATAAATAAGTAAATAATTAAACAAGTAAACAAAACATTCTTAAAAGCTTTATGTTTTAATTCGTATTTGTTTATAATTTATGTGTAAAAATATAACAATCATTTAGCAGAAGATTTTCTTATTAAAATTCACTGGAAATTTTAACAAATACTTTTTAATTTCTTTGAATTTTTTATTTATTTCTCTTTCATTAGTAAGAATTTTATAAAATGTATTTTTATTTCCACAATAAAAAAAGAAAGAAAACAATTAATTATTTTTTAAAAATTCAAATTCTTATAATTTATGCACATTAGAGTGCTCCAAGTTGTATGAAGCAAACAAAACGTTCCCCCTCCCGAATTGTTCTTTGGTTTGTAAAACGATGTCATGCAAAATACCAGGCTAGGCCAGGATAGGATAACGTTAACAGGTACCGCAACGGCTCTGAAATGTCCAGAGAAAAAAATATTTTTTTCAGTTTTTGCTCAAATTTTGCCATTAATTAATTCAATTTATTGTAAAAGAATCGTAGTGTGCACAGAATAAGCATTTCAGAAAGATATAAAATACAAAAACTGGTTGAAAAATTAAAAGTTATTGCAAATTCCCCAGGCCATTAACGTGTCTCACAGCACAAGAATTCGAAATGTGACAATAAATTTACTTGTTTGTGATATATTCTAAAAAAACATTTAGTTACTTACCCCCTTATTCACGAACAAAATTTGTATTTTATAAACAGTTTATAAATAAGATTTTGTACGGAAATTTTGTTTTATAAACCTTTTATAATAAAGGTTTATAATATATATATATATATATTTAAAATATATATATATAACTAGCATACCCTGGGTAATTCGCTACCCTAACCAAAATACATACAACATTTTGTTTACTTTTATAGAAAATTAAAATTGATTAACATTTTTTAATGTTTAAGTTTTTACGTTCAATATCACGTGAATAAATTCACATTCAGGAAGAAGCTTGTATTTTTAGTTTCATTCGTTTAGCTTCCACATTATAAAAAATTTTGAAATTACTATTTGAAAAAAAAGTACTATAAAATATCTCTTATTTAATCAAAAATTTTATGTTTCTGTGTTCAATATTATAGACAATTCAAAAAATATAATTTGATGAATGAAAAAGTAACAAATGTCCCTTTCAGTAGATTCTCATTTACTAAGGTACCTATATTTTAAATTTTATATCTCTATGTTCAATATCGTAAAACTATCAAAAAGTACCATCGGAAAAACGAAAAAGTACAAAAATCTCTCTCAATAAATTCTCATTTAATAAGGATGTATTCCGGTTAACCGTTATAGAAACCAAAAGGTACCATTTGAAGAACGGAAAAGTACCAAAGAGTACCCACTTACAGAATATTATTCAGTCAAGACCATGTATGTTAAAATTTATGTTCCTAGGTTGAATATTTGAGAAAATTCAAGAAGTACCATTTATGAGATAAAAAGTACTAAAAAGTTCTCTCTTAAAGAACTTTATTCAATGAGGATCGTGTATGTTTAATAATCATGTGTTTTGAATTCATAGTATAAAACATACAGAGTATCATTTGAAGAAGGAAAAAGTACCAAAATTGGAATAAATTCTACCTTAGTGGAAAGTACTAATAATACTTTTTTGAGAATTAAGTTTACAAAATATTCCGTATTCAAATCTATATATCACAGATTAAACTCAAACGATTCAAATCTGCATTAATTTGTTCCAGAAAAATAGTGCTTTCAAAAAGGTACCAAACAATTTATTCGAATTTGGTCCTATATAGGCCTTCGTACTCTAATTCCAAAATAATATAAAAATAGCTTATTTTGTGTGAGGAAATAAATTACTTTTTAAAATTTTATACAAATTGGCTCAATGAGTTTGAATAAAATTAAATTTCCCGTTTTTTCCCTTATTGGTACTTTTTCCCTCAGTGAAATTGCAAAAATTTTGTTTCAATAAATACTACAGAGTTAGTCCGTAATTTAACAGGAATACTTCAATAAATCGAAAAAGTTTTCATAATGTGCTAAAAAAAAGTACCAAAAATACAGTTTTCTCCCATTACTCCTAAAAAGGACTGAATTTTAAAAAAGTACGAAACAGTTGTCTCCTAGTTTAGTAAAAAGTTATAAAAAAGATACCAAAATCACCTTTGTTACACACACATATATATATATATATATATATATATATATATATATATATATATATATATATATATATATATATATATATATATATATATATATACATATATTGTTAAATAAATTTTAAAATTTGTAGGAGATCCCGTGGGGATTTATGGACATCAGATAAAGGAACAAAACGGTAGAAAATTAGATCAATACTTCTTACAGTTTAGCTGTACCTGCGATTTGAACTCGGCGGATTTAGAGAAAATCGATTTTTTTTGTAATATTTCAGAGAATGCGTATTAATTCTTTACTTATGTACATTTTAAATAAAGTATTTTCGATCGGATCCTCTTAACCCATAAACTGTGGAAGGTCAAATTACGTAATGTTTGGGAATTCTCATACTAAAATTAACATAGATGATTTTTACTCCCTATGTCTAATAATTTGGAAAAAGCACCAGACACCAATTTGCTCTTTTTTGGAGCAGTTGCTTATGGATTTATTACATCACGAATGCCTGACAGTGGCAAAGAAAGTGCTCTAGAGTTTCACTATCCTCTCCACATGCTCTACATTCGTCTGAATTCGCACGGTCTATTTTGTATAGATGTGCTCGTAATCTTGTATGTCCACTCAGAACACGTACCCTCATACTAACTTCAGACTTGCTCATTTTGAGGAGATTTCTCGTCTTGTTCTCATCAGGGTCACCCCATAGGATCTTTGTGGTTCTACCCACCGTTTCATTATTCCAAGAGGCCTTATACGATTCTCTTACCCATATTTTTAATTCAGCTTTTGTTGCGTCGAATGGTTTTGCGTTCGTCAGGTTAACTACCTCGAGCTTCCTTCCCTTTAAAGCTATTACATTCGATCTTTCGTTGCCGACTACTCCCGAGTGTCCTGGTACCCATATGTTATAGACCTTACCTCTGGGAGAGTATTCAGTTAATTATATTCTATATTAATTCTATCACCTGATATCGCCCCAAATTGCCTTCTGGCTGTCGTATCGTATATCAATTATTAATTATTTATCTATTTTAATCATTTTTGTCTTCAAGTAACAACACAATAGCGTTGTATTTTGTAGGTTATTCAAACGATTAATCGTCGATCAATTTTTGACGATTAATCGTTCCAATAAATTAAAATTGCCAAATTTCAGATAACGAATAAACCGAACAATTTCTATCTATTAAACGATTAAGAAAAAATTACTATGTAACAGAATTTGTTCTGATTTACCTACTTTTAGAATGTGTTCATAAAGAAATAATTTTGAATTATTCGTAATCATTATTAACCGGCTAACATAAATAATAATTTTGAATTATACGATTATTAACCGGCTAGCATAAAACCTCAAATAATTATTTGTCAAATAAACCGAATAACTCAATAACCCGAATAATTGAATACCCTAGTATTTTGCCAATATTTTATTTAAATTATTATAGGTTTATCATAAGGATAATGACATTAATAAACGTCTCATTCAGATTTTTTTATATTTTATTGAGAACACTATAAGTCTTTTATTATTGAAGGATATTCTAGACTAAAGGACGTTTTTTGATATCATTATCTTTATGTTAAAATTATAATATTTTAAATAAAATATTGTCAAATTATAACACATAAAATTACTCTCTTGGTTTCAAATAAATACCAGATCTGGACATTGCATTGAGAAATCCTATCCCATCAAAAACTAATTTTGGCACAAGACTTTTTCAATTAGTATGACAATATGCTTTCTCGATTCATTTATTTGCCTCGAATATAAATTTTTTCAAATAAATAAACTGATTCCGAAGTTTTTATAACAAGCTGTATTATGGTTCTATGCAAAAGTTCTTAAAAAACATGGACATTTTACAATCAAGTTAAAATATATAAATTGTATTGATTTTTCTTAATGCAATAAACCAAAAAAATTATAAATACAAACCTTAGTAGTTTTAACATTTAAAAG